TCTGCCTTTACCTCTTCACAGTGCTGATTTACATGAAGCTCTTTGAATGAAGAAGCAGATGCATTGCTCTTCATTACCACGTGCAGACCCTTACTTACGACCAGAGTACCCAACCAATAATACAGACTAATACAGGAAACCAGAACAAAGTTAGAGAAATCAAGTAGGTACGCTTTTTTTTACTACTACTATTGCCTTGCTAATCCCCCCCAAAACCAGCACAATATAAAAAAAATCGATCTTTGGGGAAATGGTAAGTAGCACAGAATTAAGACAACATGCAAAATCCTGACTTCACTGAATGAAATGAGATTTCTGTCATTAACTTCAATGAAGCCAGTGTTTCAAAAGTGTCTTGACAACAACTTCGGTACATGTTTCTTAGATGACTTCTCTCTAATGGAATTAAATAGTTCCCAAGATGAGCTTTCTTCCATTCCCACTGTAATCAGTGTTGTATTTGCTGTGGTTTTCAGTGAAAGCCCAATTGGGCCCTAGGCTCGGAAATAAAAATCATCTCGAAGTAAATGGGTTGCTGTGTATCTGACCTCTTCTCTCATTGGTGTGAAAACAGCGCGGGGATGAAACCTCAGATCATTGCTGCTATTTGTGTGAAGAGAGGTTGTTGGTTTTTTTCCTACCAGAAGATTAATAGGTAGCAAGTTCAATATCGTTAGGTATTTAGTTTTCCTTAATTGTTCCAGGAACTCATCTACAGAGAGCAATGCATCACATCTGGAGGTAGCAATTTACCTTTCAGAAATCAACAAAATCTGCACGCTCCTCCTGGGTTTAGGAAAAAGGAGCTCACACAGCTACTGCCGCTACTCCAGTCCCTTGGATAACCCAAGGCTTCAGGGGATTCTCAACGATCCGCAATATCACCACCAATATTTCCTTTGGAATTCACCGAGTTTTCTTCAATATCTTCTGTCTAGATAAGCTAAACTTTCTCAATACGTGTGAAAGCAGATCCTAGAAATCTTGCAATAGGCTTGTAGCTTTTAATTTTCTTTTAAGCCTGAAGGTTCATAATGGTTAATAATTTGGTGGGTCCTGATAGTTCTGCAGCCTGGAGAACAGACAACAGATGGTCCAGCCTCGGCATTAAGCATTATTCCTTCTGTACCTTTCAGGAATTTGAGAGATTCTTGTTTTAGAAATATTTTTTCTCCTTCCTGTCTGGGCACTGGTCATCTGCTTCACCCACTTTTCCATTACACTTCAAGAAAGTGGATGCGTATGGTAGAAAGAAAGACCCTATTCCATGGATTAGAATTTTTATTATTTGCACTCTTTTTGTAATATCCTCCTAATATTCCTCAAATTTTCATGAATTCTTTCTCCACAGAAAAGGAGAGTGGGTAGGTAGGGTTTTCTCCATCAGTTCATTGACCCTACACAGCCACAGGGCGCTGCCACGTAGATACTATCAAGGATCCATGCAGAGAGCTGACCATGTCTGTACCAACTGAATTCTGAGGAAACTCCAGAATTGGTCCACCAAAGTGTAAAAAATAATTACTCAATGCTATCATTCAGGGAAAAAAATGCATTAACTCTCATACTACAACCACAGTCATTGGCTTGTTTACTGGAATAAATGTTGGCTTTTTGTCCGGTATCTTGACAGACCGTATTCCCCAGCACAGAGGACAGGCAGCGGCGCTGCGGTGCTCAGCATCTCCCCGGTTTGCACTGCCCGTTGGGGCTTATCCTCTTTTTCACGCGATACGAAGGAGCTCGCCGAAAGGCTGGAGCTCATTGGCACCTTCAGGTTTGTCCTCTCCTGCGTTCTGGACCAGAAGAGAAGTCTGGCGAGCAGGAGCAGCGTGTGGACTTCTACTGCAGGTGGTTGGGGCTGCATGAAAAGACGAGGCAAAAACCGTGCTGCCTGTTTCTGCAGGCAACCGTCCTCGTTATGGCAATTACCCGGCAGTTCCCCACGAGGGGTTTCAGCTGTTTGCTGATCTGTCACTTGGCCGAGGGAGGCCAAGCCAGGCGGTGGCATGGCACGAGCAGGGCTGGGTGGGGGCCCACAGTTCCCGCCAGCCGTCCCCACGGGACTGATCTGAGCTGCCCCAACCCCTCCCGGCTCCCAGCACCGCAGGTGCGGTGATGCTGCAGTAACATCACACCAAGTCATTTCCGTATCATTTGACACCGGGGATATCTGGAACCAGGTCCCTCTCCACTACCCCCGAGAGCCTGTGCAAAATGCCACCTCGCTTTGGCTGGGACATAAAGCTGAGGATGCTTAAGAAAAAATTACCTGTTTATGGCAAACTGTCTTCTCAAACCTACAGCTGCACCTCTGCCCTTAGTTTCCAAGATTAACTTTTTACTCCCAAGTTAAGGAAAATACACATCTGTATCCTGCAGATATTCACAGATATGGGTGTGCACAAAGAGGCCGCAGTACGAGTCGCATTAAGGCTCCACGCACAAGGCATATATAGACCATATAATTTATTTAGGTGTAATGCCATTTCGAACTTGGAAACAATTTCTAACTTACTTGCAGTATCACGAGATCATTCGAACACAGTAAGACTGAAAGAAAAACTAAAAGCAAAACGCAGCAAAGGTACTTTTTCAGGTGAAATGGGAAACCAGAGCAGACCCAAGAGAGCAGCAGAGCGGGATCTCCAGGAGGCTGGAGCTGCAGAGGAGACGGGTCTCACCCTTGGATGGGTGCTACTACACACTGAGGACAACATCCCCAACGCTGTGCAAGCACTGGGGACACAAACACATCCTGCTACCTCCTAAAAATAGAAAGCAAAAGCATACAAAGATTTTAAAGCAAAGAGAACTAGCTAGAAATAGCTCCTAAAATTAATTAAGAGCGACTGCAGATTGTTTTGGATCAGGTGAGGGTAGGGTTACACATGTGATCTTCTGCACTTATCTGTGCTGGTTATTGCAAGTGAAATCAGTAAGTCGCTTATCGACTCGCTAAAGAGTTACGTATGTGAACATTCAGTGCCTCACTAAGTTTACTTTCAAGGCTTGGCTTGTAAACCTTCACCAGTGAGCAGCTCTGTATCCTTTCAGTTTGTTCCACATGGAATTAAACATGTGCTTTAAGGAAGGCAAAGCAGCCTCCCCTTGTCGCCTCTCCCAGTCCACGCTCAGCATGCAAAACTTCGCACAGGAAACGTCCCCAAAACTCAAACAATGCGGACGACGACTGGCAAGCGCAGGGGCCCCTCCGGCAGCGGAGCAAACCTCACCTCCCTCCGGGCTCACGCCGGCCCTGTTAGCAGAGGGGGCAAAGCAGAGCAGCTCCGCGCCGGCCAGCGGAAGGGGCCCCATCGCCACCTGCGTGGGGAAGCTGCCGCCAGCCGCCGGCTCCCCCAGCCTGCCCCAACCCTGCCTCCACCTCCGAAACCAGACCCGCAGGCAGGGCCCCGCGCGAGAGCCCACAGCTTTGCAGCAGGGGCGCGGGGCTCACGGCCCAGCTCCCTGCCCCCGCCGCCGCTCGCGTTCCCGGGATGCTTCCCCTGCGCCCGACGGCTGCGCCCGTCCGTCCGTCTGTCCGCCCGCGGGAGTCCATCCAGGCACAGGGGCCGGGATGCGCCCCGGCACACGCAGGGCTGCGGAGGGAAGGGGCACGCCGCGACAGCCGGCCGAGAGCACAGCCCCAGCCTCCAGACACTCCTGATGGCATACACGTGCGCACTGCGAACAGACATTTCTGTTTAATTGCTCAAATGGTTTCATTTTTCTACACTAAATGTTTCAAAAAAAACCCCAACAAAAACAAAAAAAAACCCGTAAGAATAGGCTGTTTCCTCTCATTATTAAAGAACACGGACATACGAAAGGAAAGAAGGGATCAAGTATTTCCCTTTCCTATAGGGAAATAATATGCATTTTGGCTGGTTTTTTGTTGGTTGCTTTTTTTTCCCCTGGCAGAAAAAAAAAAAAAAAAAAAAAAAAAAAAGAACACGGACATACGAAACGAAAGAAGGGATCAAGTATTTCCCTTTCCTATAGGGAAATAATATGCATTTTGGCTGGTTTTTTGTTGGTTGCTTTTTTTTCCCCCTGGCAGATTTGAATGGTATAAAGCTTTGAATATTAAGAAGGCTATTAAATTCTTTCAATAGTTTTCCAAAGTGCAAAGCTACTGCACTTAGAAAAGGAAAGGAAGCCTAGCACTCTTCAAGAACAAAATGAATTTAAACACACAATTAATATTGCTACTGAAATTAAAAAGAAAGGGTCTTTTAAAAAAAATCAATTGTCTTGAAACAAAGCACAGACTTTTGACTATTGATAGTATTTTTAGACTCAGACTTTCTCTGGAGAATTAAAAGTATGCAAATGCAAAGCGCAGAGCGGCACACACACACACATGCTATACCTTTGTATTACATTGGCATTTTATTATTTAATTAAACTACTCTTATTTTTCTAGCTCACGCATGCTTCCCTTGAGACGGCTTTGCTGTTAGCCTGCTGGCCTTGACTTCCAGCCAAAAACAATTCAGAAACAAAAAGGGACAACAAATCATATTTTCACAGACATTTTTATCCCTCAATACAACCTTGTTTTCACACAACATCATACAGATTCTATGAAAACTATAATTTATTGCAGTAGCCATCCAAAGCTCGGGGCTGACACAAGCTCTGCGGTGTGTTTCCACTTCTGTAATTTCTGAAGTTGTGCTGTTGGGAAGACCTGACATGCTGAACAGTGCGGCATTGTTGCAAGGGACAATAATCAATAGTTCACAGCAGCTCTGACTAGGGCGGTATTAGGTCAACCCAAGTACTCATAGTCTCCAGTAACTGTATCCTGGCTAGAAAAGCTCAGGCAGGAGCTTTAAAACCTGCATTTGCAAATAGAGCCCGTTTCTGAGAAATGCACATCTGCAGCCATCGCCGTTTATGACGGAGCCTATCCCCAAGATGTACAACTTTAAGAAGCAAACCTCATTCATCAGAGTATTTATCACAACCCCTCTGCTGAGCAGACTTTCACTTACCTGGTGGCAACCCTGTAAATTCGAATCTCTTCCATATGATGAGTATGAACCCCTTTCTGTTTTACCTGTTAACAAAAAAAAAAAAAAATAGATGTATAACAGATATAAACAGATATATATAGCTTCTCCAAGCGTTTTAGATGATGTTCACCACATTTTCCTAGTGCTGTTTACATATGTAAAATAGGCACTGCTGACTGCGTAACGCATGTAGGCAACAGAAAGGGATTAACACTTTTTCACGCTGAGGATGGTGATGTGAAATAAACTTCCTAATCTCAGCTGCGCCGCTCCACACGCTGCCTGGAACCGGGATTTAACGGGCTTCCACCGGCTGGCTGAAGGTGTGAGCAGACCTCCTGCGTGCCTCCCCTCTGGCTCGGGGGCTGAGCACCCAGGCACCCTACCTGTCCCACCACCGCGCGGGGGGCATGGCGAGTCCCTCACCGGCTCTCCGGACGGCCAGCTTCGCCCAGGAGCTGCTGGGGATGCCGCTCCCCGCTCTCTTCCCCAGGAGCAAATTCCCCCATGATCAAGGTGATGATGGAATTTACACCTGGGAAAGAGACACTGATTGGGAATTTGCCATTCGCTACCAACATTGGGGCTGCCCCAGCGGCGCTGGGACTTGAACGGGGGCCCAATGACTGCCGAGACTCTCTGCCAGCCCTAAGTACTTTTTTTTTTTTTCCTTTTTTCCCAGGAAGCCTTTAACACTCAGATCCAACAGCCTGACTTGCAGTACCGGTTACAGTTATGCCATATTTACAAAGGAAAATAAAGGTTCTTTCAGGTTTGAATGGCCAGACTCGAGCGAAATCAAGAAGGGAAGAGGTGGTTTCTGCAAAGCATTAAGTCATGGCTGAGCAGCACTGCACCACGTGCTCCGGAGACAAAGAGCAGTCAAGAGGGCTGATACAAAACATATTGACACTAAAAGACCACCCTTATGGTGAGGATAATCACGGGAGGGGGGGAGGTATTATCTAACAAAACATCCAGGAACACAGTAAAAATCACTCATAAAATTAAAGTTTTTATTATAGGCTGGGACATAAAACCCACAACACACAGTACCAGTTACTAGGGACCAGATGCTCAGTTTATCTCTGTGTGCAACGCCCAGCAATGCCGGGGACACCTCTGCACCTAGAAGCCAGGTTCACGCGGCTGCATACCCCCACGTACGAGAGATGTGGTGACAGCCCTACACCAAACCCTGCGCCACCGAGATAAAGCCACTGTGCTGATACACCTACCGAAGCCATTAAAAAACATCCTTTAACTGCATTTGGAAGTATCAGATCACAATAATGACAATATCCACCGACCTCACAAATTCCAGGGGCCCAAGCAAGGCAGGCAGCGGATGAGGGGTCCCTAGCTGGCACGTCCCCTCAGGTTTCCCCACGCGATCCAGATTTCATAAAGAACCCATGGTGAGGCAGATCGTTAGACAAAGGATGATGGAGTTAATTTTAATCATTCCCAATATGGTGTGGCCACATTCTGACTGAGCCCACAAGCCTTTCCTTTAATATGCAGCTAGTAGGTTTGAGTGCCATTTAGAGGTATTATTGATAAAGTTTGACTGTTGTGATTTTTTTATTCCAAACCACTCATCTTTCTCCCCATAATAATTTAAGACTCTGTAGCTTGCTTTTGTTTCTCGATTGTTTTTGGTTTTGTTGTTTTCCACCACATAAAGTAGTTACTTATACACGGGAACCCCCAAAATTTATTTGCAATTCATAGGACATTGGCACACGTAATAACTTTTGAAAGCACTTGTATCTGGTTATACAAAAATGATGGATCACCCACTCCATAGCCCCCCTCAGGTTTGGAGTACTGGAAGCCTTTGCAGAAATAATTCAAGATTGAAAAGACAATGAAATTTTAATCGTGAATCCCCGAGTCGTCCAATGCCGAGATCTGAAAACAAAATGTCTTGCTGGCACGCCTGGAGTTACATGTGCTACTTCCCATCACCCCAAGAGGGCCAGAACGTCGATGCAAATAGCAAGCGGTGAGGACGGGGGGGAAAAAAAAAATCCCAAACAGAAAAATAGGGTTGAGGGGAACCAAGTTCAAGCAGCGACACAAGGTACTTTGAACGCGCTTCTCGCTGCTGCCTGGGTATCGGTAATCTTCTTTTCTATCGTATCAGACACAGGCAGCCTCATCTTAATTTCAGTTGTTAAAAAATATTTATCCAGATACAAAAATAAACCCACTGCAAATTACAAGTTGTCAGGGTTAAAATCTACTTCTATTTGTGTGGGGGAGGATAAGAGAACAGCATAGACATGAATCATTCTCAGTAATTTGAGTGTTTCCATGACATCAATGGGCACTCGTCCAGGACTCTGTCGAAGTCTGTGAGGTACCAAAGCGGCACAGCAGCCAGCAGGAGATTGACTTTTTTTTTTTTTTTAGGATTATGCTCCTTGTAAAGATTTCATCTATAGCATCCACTTTTACCACCAAACAGATAGCTTTGGAGATCATGAGTGAACACATTTCATTCTGATAGTGTAAGCCTTTAACTTTATTACATTTTTTTGTTGTTGTTGTTGTTCCCACATACAGCTAGAAATCTGCCTTCTCGATTAAGAACAAATAACCGAAATTTGTGAAAAAGTCAAGAAACCGTTAAAAATATATACATACGTACATTTTCACTATCAACTGCAATTATGAAATTATCATACTTTTTGTAATGACACTTCATTTGGGGGGGGGGAATATCTTTTGTATAAACTGTCCATTTAAAATTAGCTACAGTCTTGATGTTGATTTTCTGCTTAAAATTCACTGGCACATTTGTTTCAGATAATAAAATTTGCAAGAGTGCTGATAATATGCAAGAGTAGGCTCTTTAAGCAACTATTTGTGCTCACAAATACAAAAGCTTCTCCTGAATTTCTACGTTTACTGTACATTATGCATCATTTTCAGTCACTTGAACACCCCAGCCTGTACTGTGCGTTTTCTGAGGTTTGCAAGAGCTAAAGATTCTCTCTCCTTTTTTTTTTTTAAATGTTTTAAAAAAGAAAGAGCGTCTACAGCGATGTAGACACCCGACGCATTCACTGCGGAATTTTCGAGACAACCCTCTAGTACTAGAATGCGGCAGCCGCTGCGGATATTTTTTGGCACAAAGACAATGGTGGCAGTGCCAAGCCCCATGGCTAAAACTACTCAAAAGAGGCATAAGGGTAGCATTAATCGTTCAAGTCTTTTACTGCATGGAGTACTGTTGTCCATATTTTAAAACCTAAAAGTACCCGTTAGTAATATTTGTTGTAAGCCAGGAAAAAAAAAAAAGGAAAAAAAAAAAAAAAGGAGCCTGAAATACAGACGAATAACAAATCTTGTCAGACATCTGATTAATTTTTCCTACCTAGAGGACCAAATGCTAAAATGTGCCATTTGTTACCAGCACTCCGAACATGCAACACGATCTATACCCTTCCGTGGCTTTATGATCTGACAATTGAAACAAAGCTCCATGGAAGAAGTTGACCTACAAAGGCTGGTGAATAACTTTCAAGTATGCACTTGTTCTTTAGGTAAGGCAGAAAAAGCATCTCCATTATTATCAGAGGCAATAACTTAGCGTGTGTGTAAATATATATATATATTTTCAATTAATTGACACAATGCATGCCAATCAAAGGACAGACAAAGAAAGAACTACACGCAGCTCCTGTTTTCTGACAAACACTGAATCTTAAGTCTCTGCTTTCTACATACCTCTAGAAAAAAATACTGCTTACCTTCACTAAACTAAAACGATTGCTTCGTAAATATTTTGTTTGCATTTTTGTTTAACTGCAGAAAATAAAAGCAGCACAGGATTGCCAACTGATCAATAAAGAAGCCACTTGCCTTTCCATGGTGCACTTTGAAAAATTAATCAAATTAAGTAGAAAATTTAAGCAACTTCCAAAGCACAAATGCAAGTCATCTGATTCCCCACTCTCTTTTCCCCTGCCCTGGGAGATAGGGCACCTTGGTTTTTTTCTGGTAGGCAGAATGAGAGGCATGAGGCAACTCTTTCCATCTGCAGAGAAAAGGAAGTGAAGCTATTTCTATAAATGACTTCAATTCAATGTTTACATTGATTTCATGTTTGACATATTTTTTGAGAGATGAGTGCTAATTCAGGTTTCCGCTGCCCTACATTTGGGGTTTAGTTCTTGGTTAGACTGAAGAAGGGAAACCTGTCTGGGGGGAAAAAAAAAAATATAATTGTATGAGGGATTGGAATTTTAATGGCTGCAAATTTCAGTCTGTTCAGGTCTGCAATTTTGCTTAAACCTATTTCTTATTTTATTACTGCATTTCTAGCATTTTTGAAAATTAACGATCGTTCCCTCTGATGTCCAACATCTCAAATGCATCCTGAAGGGAGCCCGATTGATTCCCCTACAGAGAATGACAAGTTACAGGAGAATTCAGTGTCGAAGTCAGACCAGACACGAGGAACAGAGCGCTGCAAACATATTTGGGAAAAAGTTCTGAGCAACTGAAGAATGTGCTGAACTTCATCGTTCCACGTTTGTCTGTATATAATGAACACATACATGTTATCAGCCGTAGCAGGGTTTATTTGCATTGTTATGAGGACCATGAAACAGTTTACTTCTGCCTTAATCTATAGTTCTTGCATTCAAAATTTTCTTGTGCTTGTTTAAGTTTGGTTGCACGAGAAAGAGAGGGTTCGAGCACTCCAGGGAGCGAGTGCAGGACTCCTCTCAGTGCTCACTAGTGTGAGTGAAGGTCTCCGAACACCGGCCCTGCCTGACACGAGGACCAGCTCTGCACAGTAACTTTTGACAGGGACAGACAGATTATTCAGTACTATTTTTTTTTTTGCCTCAGAGATTTGAAAACCCAACTCATTTCAGCAGAGGAATCAAGCTAAAATTTGTATAGAATTATAAATTATCTGAGGAAAAACCTCACTGAAATAAACAAGTTATTGTACACTTATATATCCCATACCTATAAGCACCTCACTCTCGGAGGAATGTATATACCCTGTGCCCCCCATGGA